CTTCTTAACGTTTTTTCTAACCGTAGCAGGACCTTTATATACGTACTCCACAACCGTCTACTTTACAAACTGCAATTTTAAAATTTGTTTAATGAAATTCATGGAACCTGCSGAATTGAAAATATAAATRTCTTTCCTCCGCATACCTTTACAAAAAGTAAGAAACATTTTTTTGGTACATTCTTTGAAACATTCTGGTTGTKCAGGGTCTGTTTTCAAATTTTTACGGAGAGATTTAAAGGTGGTCTGGAAAAAMGACTAAGCTTTTTATTTTTAATCAATTAAAATATATTAGTTATACATAAGTTTGACTGATTTTTTTGTGAACCGTTTCTACTAGTTTATCGATGGCAGTAATAATTGCTTGCCTATTTGCCTGTCTGATCTTGAAATACCCTTACTTGGCAACAAAGAGAAGAAACTAATTACTATTAAAAGTTCTAAACATATCGAAATCCTTTAACCAATATTGTTATTCAGTCTTTAAAAAAATCAGAAAATATGGGAAAATTGCGAGACAATGTTATTAATTTCCGCTTTGTACGTTACGTGCCTGAAGCAAACACAATTTCGTTTAGAATACTCCTGGGTGTTTGTTATAAAACTTGCTTAAAATTGCTGAAAAATGATCGCATGTTCGAAATTGATCGGAAATTAATTTTCGAACGTATGTCGGTGATACACATATGTTTACACCAAAGACGGTGTTTTGGCTTTATTTGAATGGACAGCTAAATTATTAAAATCTATATGAAAAAGTTTTTTGCTCCAATCTCATCATTACTAAGTGATATTAAAAGGTGTTAATCGAATTTAATTGTAACTTGTATGACGGTGAAATTCACGCTGCTTTTATCCTACTATAAGTCAGGAAGATAAAGCTCATTATTCCACATTATGTCCGTCAACTTTTTCCAGTTAGTTACTGGAGTAGCAGAAGGTGGGTCGCACTACACTTTATTAGTAAACTTTATACACTTAAAATGCCTTTTGTGTTTCCTTTTCGTTTCATAAAACAAAAGTTTCTGCTGGAAAGAGCTAATGCTGCTAATAATTAAACAGAATTTTTCTCTTTGCGTTTTGAAGCAAATGCTTTATGCATTTTTTGGCATTAACATTTACTTTTTTTTTTATTTTTTTGAATTTAGCAACTGTTTTGATAGTACTGAAATTGGCTAGAAAAATAAGAACTTAAAAAAACAATGCGTTGCCGTACTGAATGCTCTAAACATATTTGCATTCCACTGTAAGTTTATTTCAGCACCGGAGCACATGAGAGAATATGAAGGCGATAATTGAATTAGAGTTTTGGTGTGTTGGTGAYCGTGATGTCAATTTGTAAAAGGTGCCTGCACTSTTTTGCTGCTTGAGTTAATATTATAAACACTATTTTGCTCGATCCGACGTTTCGGACATATTTAAGCCATCGTCAGGGATCATGGAAAAAGTCTCATTTCTGTAACCAACAACTGAATGTCACCAGCGGCATTGGCAACAACTATAGTATTTAGGCTTTTTTTCTCTCTCTCAATTAATATTATGTATATTATGCGGAAATATTTTGATTATGCATACCGATATGTTGTTGGGTTGTGTATGGCTATTGAATTATAAACAATATAACTTGTGCGTTGGAATCACACAGTAAAATAAAGTCGAAGGTTTTAGTGGGTGATTTGAAAAAAGACTGCTTTCGGAACTTAAGTCTTTATGTACAAAAGTCGTGTGTTGTAACTGAGGAAAGTATGTTGCTAAAATTTGCACATGTTATGACAATGATAAAATGATCTCCGTTCTTCAACTAAAAGACGGCACCTTTGAGTTAGTTTCGAACAAGGAGACGAAAGTTTTCTTGTTATTTTTTCATTGGTTTYAGRTGTTCRTGYCRCAAAAAAATTGAATGATATCAACGGCCGTTTTTCTCAATGTTCAGTTAAAAAAATGGAACAAAGATGTTTGGTGCCGATGWATTTTGTRAACATRTTTTTTATTTCGAAACTTTGCCTTTTGTCCTATAGAACGCCAATAAAAGCTGCTTASAGTTTAATAATTAGGACCCATTTTTAATCTCTCTTAWTTAATTTTTTTAAYTTATTTTCGCTGCAAAGCGCCCACGCCTAAAGTGCCGAATTCGTAAAGTCTTCTGTCTGACGTTAAATATTACTTCGTGTTTAATTTATTATTTTTAAATAATGTAAGTTCCTCGATATTTGGAGTTATAAATGGAAAATAAAAGGGATTTTCCAGCCAATTATTTACGTTCACTAGTTGCGTTTTATTATGTGCATGTATTCCAGCAATATCACTCATATGGCTGTTATTACCTATTCCATACCGCATTACTGACGTTGTAAGGATCTGGGAATATAATGACCTGCTTTTCTATGCCGAACTTTTCATCCCTCCACTAGCACAATGCCAACTGCTGAATCATAGATGAGGTTGTGCAATGCCAGAAAATCTGACACGGTATTCGAATGGCAATATAATTTACGACCAGTCCCGAATATTGGAAAATTTCATTTTAAATTGTTGGCTGCAAACGTACCTGTTTCCTAAACTTTCTGAAAATTTTTCTCGCAGTAGTTCATAAGCATTCAATTTAGACTCAATTTGATGAATTCAAATCATCCGCATGTTTAGCAGAATCATATTTATTCACATATTAGTTTTTAATTTTGCGGATAATTTTACGATGATCCGAATGTCTTCGTGTACTTGAAAATATGCCAACCTTTAAACAATATTTCCAAATCATATATTTTTAGTTAGCTGTTGATTACCTTTTGAGTTAACAAGATACCTACTAATAGATATACTTATAAGTAGATATATTTTCGTTCTGGAAACGTTAAAAAATGTGGGGTTTCAACCACTAGAAGTTCATTAGAATTATTTGTTGAAAGGTCAGTATAAGTATTATTTATTACAACGAAAATTGTTTTATGCGAAGGCACGACCTATATCAAAACGCAGAGCTAAATTAACGAGAATATTTCCAAAGCGGAACATTAAGCGCATTAACAACGTGATATCACTTTAAAGCGGTGTTAAATTAATTTGGTATTTGCCATTTTATATTCAGTTTACTTATTTTTGCACCAACGCTTTAGGTGATTAATCAGGCATCATTCTTAAGTATTTAGGGGTTGCTGGCAAAGTAATTGGCGATGAACGAGGATCACACCAATATTGAATAATTCTTCCTTGTACAGAAGCACTCAATAGACTATTACTGGGACATTTGATAAATTGTTTGTCGTAAGTGCAGCTGAATTTGATATGAGAATATCGTTTCGTTTTTTTTTTCGTTTTTGTCATAGTACGTTTCTTTGCTATAAAGTGATCTTGTCTTAGAAAAAGCTGGTAGTCAGGTAATGACAGATATTTTTCATAAATAAACAGGCTAAAGAATCTATATGAAACAGATAATTCGGGCTCTCATTGCCTCATATAAAGATATCAATGAATTTATTAAAATTATCATTAATTTCTCTTGATGATGGAAGTCGTAATGAGTCATAAAAGCTTTATTCTAGATATATAATATAGTCTAGTATAGTCCATAACAACTTCAGGACTTATGAGAAGATGTGTAAACATTTTTACTAGTACTTGCGAAATGTATGTGGGATTGTGCAATTAGTATGCGTTATTCCAATTGTTAGACAATAATTTCATAATACTAAATGAGTTATTATTGATACAGGATATTAAACTATTTTCAATACCTTTAGTTATCGATTCTTCGTTTAGCTGAAATATGTTTAGACACGATTTTAAAGAAATAACTTTTCAGTTTGCCATATTGTTTATAATTTCGATGATGGATCTGGGGCAGAACTCGGGTAGTAAAGTACATAATAAGCCGGAAATGGGCCCAAACTTCCCAGCTTCAAGGCATGCAACTTTATCAATTTAAGTTCTGCAGTAAGTACCGAGTTCGATCTACTTACACAGGTTTGTTAATTTGACTAAAAGTTTATCTTTGCCGACAAGTTCTGAAAATGATGCAGTTCGAAAAATGCGTTGAGCGTTTTAGGTCTCGAGATACTTTTCGAAGCAAGGTAATGCACCCTTATAAAACTGCATTATGATTGTGGCAAAATTGTGGGTGCCTTCTGAATCATTTCACGCATTAGATTCATTTGAAGATTGTATTTTTCTTTAGCTTTCCGAGTGCTATAAATTGAGAAAAGATTCGTCTAATGGGCAGCAAGGAAACGATCTATTCACAACCGAGCCAATCAAATTGATTGATTAAGTATTTAACATATTTTAGGATTTTAAATAAAGGTGCTGAGCAGTTTCTGTATTAAACATATATTAATTACATACGTTTTACTTTCTCTTGTAATCACTAGAATGACTCCAGCATTCCACTATTCACTTTGCACTACGCGAACACTTTACAAATTCTGCAAAGTCTACAAGGCTGCTTGAAATACATACACTTTTTATTTTTAAATATATGAGGATCAGAAACACAAATGTTATATATCTATAAAGGATATAGTTAACCATGAAATTAGTAGAAAAGAAGTAGAAATAATTATCCTATCTGGAACTTGGTTAGCTGTGAAATCTGTGCTTTTCCCAATAGAAATTCAACTTGTTATTGCACTTTTCAGAAAATTACTTTAATTTGACAAACCAACTTTTTGGGTTTCGCCTTGAAAAGTATTTAGAGTTGCAGAGCAGGGAGCGGACTACATTTAAATTGTTCTTCTTTTGAAACATCCCTTCCTATCATCCGCTTTAATTATTAAAGTAAAAATTAAGGTTCGTATTTCGCAAGGTGAAAATTCAGATTTAGCTGAAGTACCTGACAAATGAAAAGCTCCTGAAAGGCCACCCACGTAATGAATGCTGGCAGCTACTATGAAAAAATTTGTCTAAAAGAAATATTTTTACTGGTAGAGTTTCATAGAGCAGTCGACTGTAAAATTCCTTTTATTCCCCGACTGAGCTTTAAATCTAATTTCTTGCTTTGTTTTCAGGTGAAAATCCTGCGGCAATGCAACACGGTGGACGAGGATTATCCTGGCTTCAATGTAGCCCTTCGTCCTGGCTGCTGATTGCATTTTCCCTAATAGTGCTCATGTGCTAGTTACGGTGAAAATAGAACAGAGCCTTTTCAAATATATCTCCTAGGTGATTAAATAAATGAATGAATTTTTAGCGTTTTTATTATATGGACTGAACATGTATGATGTTGGTATTAAGAACTAAAATGTTTTCGACTGTAAGGCTTTTACTACTTTCATTAGCGAATAGATATTAATTTCCCAGGGTTTATTCAAGTGGAAAATTGTCGCATAGTCGTTCTTAGAATATAATGTTTTAATGTGAATAAAATTATAACACGAGTAAATATAATGTATGATTTTCTTGGGATATTTGTATCGTTCTCTCTTTAGGATGCATAATTTGAAGAAACTTTAAATTTGCTGATATCAGTACTTTTCCTGCTGACATTATTTAGATTTTTTATGTATAATAAAGTTTTTCTCAAATATTTACGGATTTTCGCACAATCGTTTTCTTGAAGAGTGGTCTATAAAATAAAGCAAAAAGATGTCGAGGTTAAGAAAAATTATTGAACAGAATTGTACTACGATTGGGTTGCACTGGCATATATATTTACAACACTACGAAACCAACTCCAAGTGAATTCTACAATGTAACGTGATAATACTGTTAGAAATAAATGAAATATTTTGTAATAAATTCCATAATGTATCGCACACTGTGTTTGTAAATAAGTATCAAATATTTAATTTCCACGTACACTTTTGTAATTAGAGCCACTAATAACACACTTCTTGTTCGATTAACTTTAGAACTCAAAACTTTAGTCTAAAAAGCTTTAGACTTTTCGAACTAGTTTTCAAGTAGCCAAACTTTGCACAAGACGTTTTCAAATCACAATGGAAGGCCTCCAAGTTTAGTGTAAATATACCAACATAAAAATGGTAATTTCGAGCTGACTGTATGCCTTTGTTATAACGATTTCCATATTCTTTTATAGATAGGTTACAAGTGACTCATTGGAGTAAACTAATTCTGGCAGTATTTTCTGATCACGGCGCAGCTTTGCGTTGTAATTGAACAATATTGATACAAATTTCTCAAAATTTAAAACATGTACATGTCGCTTTCTTCTAAACAGTGCATGTCAATACTAAACTGATCTGTTTGATAATGAAACCTTCACCTAAACTAATATCTCTATTAAAATACCTCTTGATAGTTGGTATTGTGTGTTGGGTTGGATGATATGTGGATATATTACATGAAAAATACTCGGTTTTATATAAGCATGTATCTAATGAACAGTATTTGACTCTACCTACACCTACCTATCCAAATTCATTCTTTCTCACATCATTACCATTGAGGAGTAATTAATGAGTATAGTTTATAGACGCAGATACATTGTTGTATATTTTTAAGATATGGTGCAATTATTGAAAGTTTGTAGGTAGTTCTAATTTAATAAACCCTATGATAAGAAGGTATCTATGTATATGTCACTTCTGCTGTATTCATTTCATACATATGTAGCGAGTAATTGATTGACTACTTATACCTACTCGAAGGCCCTGTCTGTTGAAAATATTCAGAAATTAATTAATGTTGCTCTGTTTAAGTGATAGCAAAAGTTGCTGTTGCAAAGAACTTATTGCCTAAGTCATATTCATAACAAACATATACACTTGGCTGGTTAAAAGGAACATAAACACAGGATTTTATACGAAAATGTGTTAATTTTAAATATGCAGTTTCTATACATAATTCCATACCTTAAGTGGAATCGCAAAAGTACATTGTATCTTTGCCAATTAACTTACAGTCCACATTTTTGAAGTAAAAAAAATTGTCAAATATTTCAGGAATTAACTAAATTGAGATTCTCATAATTTTTTTAAGTACCATACGGCTCCTTTATATAAGATGTAGATATCCACATTACCAAAACATAATCAGTGTTTCAGTCAATCCTCTGTAGCTCCAATAATTGATCTGTGTTTACTTGTTCGAAACTTTGATTTATGAAAAAACCTATTGAGCTTAACTTTTTTCTAAACTTAAGTTTGATTTATTTTGCCTTTTATCTGATTTTGTGAAATTTATGTTAAATAATGCATTACTAAATCATTGAGACATCGAGGTAGACAATGAGTTTAACGAGTGCATCTTTTTCTAAATGAAATCCTCTACACGATTAAATCATCAACTAATTTTAAAAGTTTGACGATTTTAACGACACTTTTAACGACGTGTTTTGGGCTGTGGATGTTTTGATTATTTGGAGTGCGTCAACAAATTGTTTTTTTATTGTCAACCTTTTGTTATTAATTGAACCATTCAATCGATTAGAGCAGTTATGATTTTCATTACTTCTGTTTGTCAACTTTGTTTAAATTTTAAAGGTTTAAGTAATTATTAACTTTCAAATTGCATTTTAAATTACAGTACGACTAAATAATTGATAATGTATTTTCATTGGGTGAAATTGAGCCATAAAAGTAAATTACTGCTTAATGAATATTTATTCTAACAAATTAATGTTTTCAACAAATAATTGCCTTCATAATGTAAAAACTTTGTTACTTCACAAAACCTATATTATGTATAGATTGTACGTGTAAAATAACAAATATATTTAAATGTACATATTACCCTTGTTGTAGTTTCATTCGCACATATTCCATAATTATAGAGGTTCGACATGTTCTGAATTTATTTGCTTTTTACTAGGAGTTCACAGAAGGCAAAAATAATTTTTTGTTCTGATATGTAAAACGGTGGAGAAACAAATACAAAATTTGTTTTAGTAATTCTTTTAGAGGTATAGAGTAAGCAGCTGGGTGCAAAGGTCTTGCAAAACAGAAATACTGTGAAAATTATAAATAAACGTTTTGTTGACTAATAACTGACCGACTTGGACAAGTCAGTTTTTATAATAGAGTTACGAAATATGTCCTTAAAAGTGGTCTATCTGAGAGATTTTTATTTAGCTTTGAGATTCTGAAGCCTTAAAGATCTAGAAATGAAGAATAGTGGTTTTAAATAATTGATCACATGCAGGGCATAATTCACTATTGTGATGGTTCACTTAAATCGAAACTACGATATATTCCATAATGTCAATTTTGTCGAATATTACACCTTAAACTCCGTTATTAACATTTGTTGCATATTTTTAGTCACATTATATAAATCACTTCAGTAGAGTAAGGTAGCCATTCTACAACATTTTTATGACTTCTAGCACTTATTCTGTCTAACACGTAGGTAATCTGCATTGAAAAACTTGTGGCGACTCTAGCAAATTTGCTTAATGCCCATAAAAGTGTTTTGAGCTTCGACTTTACCAGAAACTTGGTATTAAATATAAGATTTAAGTTGAAGTTTGAAGCGCTTGTGCATGATTTAAGAACAAAAGGCAATAAAACAAACAGACAAGGGAGAAATCTTTTTAATACTTTCAAATGCTTTGAATTTATATGTTGTACCTAATTAAGCACATGTATTGGTCTAACTGCAAGTATTAAGAGCTCGCAAATTAGTAGCTGTAGTCAATAACAATTTGCAGCAGTTTTCAGATATAAATAAAACTTGAATCCAAGAGTACAATATATGCGTTATAATGGATAATTATTAGTATTAGATACTTACCGGAACGCATACGCCAGCGTAGTCGAAAAACCACCCTCTTCATTGAAAAAATAAACCGTTAATAATCATGCAGTTCATCCAAATGACTAAATAGTCACTAGTCCACTACACTTATTCACTTCCGACTTATATGAAATTATCACTGATCGCTACTAAAGTTAACATCATGCACTAGTAAAATTAGATTCCGGTTTTTTTCTTTGCTCAGAAACGCGCAGAAATTTAAAGTACAAGCAAACAATTGAAATTCGTACTTCAGAACAAACCGATGCATTGCTGTCAGCTTTGGTTCCGTTCAAAGATTTAATATCGAAAATTCACAAAAGGTTTTATTGTGTAGCTGCCTGACACTTATAAAAAATATCTAGAATAATTTACAGAGTTTATTAGTCAAAACAGTTGTTTACTTAGTTTATTTGTTTGTTTATGGCATTAATTTTCTATCAAATAAAGAGTCACATCTATAACATAATTTAAAACTATCAGGGTTAATATAATGTAGCTTTCAAATTGACTTGAATCAGTGGTTCAAATAACTAAGTACCTAAGGACAACAGTATTTTGATCAAGATAGGTCTTAGACGCAATATATGTATAACTTCGTAGGGTCAATTAACACGAAAAAAGTTTATTTTACACACAAACAAACGTGTAGTCAGTTATAATTGCCTTTTAAATTCTAATAGTTTTTTTTTAAATAATTATTTATGAATCGTACGGCTGTAGTGATTATATTGGCATAGTATAGTGCTAGACTGCTAAATATGAGAGAATTCCTAATCTCCAAATTTAGGAGCTTGGGCTACCCGAAAACATTAATCTGTAGGGCTACCCAACATTCTCCCGATTTCTCCAGGCTGTTAGGAACACGCAAATAATAATAAATAACGACCCCTAAATCTACATTAATGTAAGTACTACGATCGTTTAAAAGTCTGCATAATAAATCGTTGAGATGAAAGGTGTTTTTAAAATCTGAGCAATTGCAACCTGTCATTAAACGTTTAGAGAGTATATTAGTTTGCTGAAGTCATGTATTAATGATTGCTTAAGAAAAGTAAGGCCAAAATGGATTAAAGGCAAATGGAAAATCCCTACATATGTAAGTATTGTTTATGTTATTGGATATCGGAATTTACGACTCTAGGTAATACTGTACCTAAATAAATTAAAAGTATCTATAATATGTAATCAGAGTAACTTATTCACATACTTGGTACTTTACATGCATACAGAACAGTTAGTAATAAATGTGAAAAGCAATTACTATACAAAATATTGCCACAACCGAACATGTTTTCGATGTTGACGCACTGGACGAATGAAAATGTAATGCTGAATACATTGATGGCTCTCCTGGAACGAGAGAACGTAGAAAAATTATTTATGTTCCGTATGTTATACAAATAAGCTGTGAGCGAATGTAAATAGGTGCTGCACTTGTTTTATTACTTATTGTGAGAAGCAACCATGAAAAACTGATAAAATTAAAAAAAATAGCAGATATTAACTGTATTTAAACTTCATCGCAACTTCCTAATTAATACTTTCAAATGGTAAGGTGCTAATAGCGGTATTTTCCACTCGTTTTTTGCCACCAGATGTATACAGCTTTTGAGTCTCTCGTCGTCATCGTCCTTGTTTTAACTCCACTTAATTTCCACAACAGTAAAAGTAAGGGATTTTTTTAAGTGAGCGATGTTTAACATTTCAATTCCTCATTTAACCTCATGCGGCGTGATTTGCCATAAAACTTCTATTTTTTTTCACTTGTTCGAGTGTCAATTAAATTAACTGTATATTTTAAAATTAAAATAAATATTCAGTAAAATCCAACCCAACATTAAGTCAGCAAAATATCGACTGAAAATTTCAACATACCTTTATAGTGAACAAAGACCTGAACACTCGCCTGTCTAGCATTTGAGGGAACACATGAATAGTTTCCGGCATGAGAAGGCAGAGCTCGTTGAAAAATCAACTCTGTTCCTAAACGGCCTTCTCTCACAACAGCCCCATCTTTCAGATCATAGTTGATCATTCTATTACCATGATACCTAACAAATACATTAGTAAGAAGTTTAATCAATCTCAAGGGAGGATCCAGGGGGGTCTTGAGGACTGTGTCTGCCCCAGTGTGCGGGGTTTATGTCGACAAACGATAATTTTCTAATTTCATGGACAACAAAACACTGAATTTGTACTACATGACCCCCCCTGACTTGAAAGTTGGATGCGCCCCTGAATACTAGGGCACTAAGAACCATTAAAACATATCACAGAAACAATTCCTTCTAGACATATGATATAAGTTTACTATATAATTGTAAATACATTGACAAAGCAAAAATTACAGAGTTCCCGTAAAACAGGAATAAAACTCTTACCAAAACATGTATGTGGGCTTCTTATTGATTCTGAACTTGCTGGTGGCATTCAGAATACAACTTAGCCGAATAGGAAATCCTTTATCCACATCTCTAACACTTGGTCCAAGTATTACAGCGCGTGCTTCTACAATACCATTATTGCATTGAAGCCAGTAACAAGTTTCACTATCCATATTATATATATATATACATTATAAAATTTTTGGTTGCTAAATATTTTAAAAAACTAACGGTAACTAACACCCCGATGAAAGAGTATATCTCAATTCGGATTTCATCCTGGGCAGTTCTTGTGTAGTTCTGTAGTCGTTTTTTTAGAAAGGACTGTACGTTTGGTTTTATTAGACATTTTTCAAACCCTTGTGCCAGTTTTTTGGATGACTCAAAATCGAAGTACCAGGAATATATTAAGCAGTCCTCAAAAACTTGCAGCAATTTTTAAATATGTTCCCTACATTATTCTCTGATTTTCAAGGCAAAACATGAATTGTATGAGTTCATCCAATGCGGAGAAAATATTCTACAAACCTAAGTATACGTTCAGTTAACAAACGCACTACTTCTAAGCTTAATTTAGAAGTTACCTGTTTAATACCAAACATGTGCTATGTGCTTTTGGATAATTAGTTTTAAGAAATAAGTACGTCGGTTGCTATTACAGCGTACAAGTTCCCAAACTTCCACTTGATTCAGAATATTCAAGTACATATAACTATATGCTTCTAAAGTTTCCAGGCTTAATGAATGACATAGCATTACCATACTTTTGAGTTTGCGAGTTTCGAATTTTGCGGCAACATGCAAGTGTTTTATACCGATGTAGAGCATGAAAGAGACGAGAACTAAAATATTCTATAAGTTATCTGCATGTCTTTATGTAATTAGATACCCTGACGAGTGGTTGCTTTGTGTACGACAAGGATTTGTTCAACATTTTCTCTTTTCGATGTTTTCAGCTTAATTTGAGACACTAATTCTTACCAAATAACTCCAGGCGAACAAATATGCTGAAAGTAGGCGGAGTACAGACCTGACACTCATATTGACCTGCATCGGATACTTTAGCAAATCTTACATGTAAGCTCCAGATCTGAAAATTGATTAATT